TAGGACCCTAGTTAATTGATACAATTTTGTTACTAACTTATGACATTAGTTAATTGTGGCAAATTTGTAACTATTTATGGATAATTTGTTACAAATTTACTACGAGAATCGCCATGTTGTTTTCAAAAAGAGTTATGAGACAAATTAGTGACAAGTTTATAACCTAATGATATTATGCTAAGAAATCAAACCTCAAATTCTAAACAAAACGAATATGTAAAATATTAGGATATCAAACTGCATATTTTGTAAAACAATGAAAACTTGATACAAAATCAAACCATAAACATCATCCGAAATGTTTAGTGTTTGACTTAAGGTTTGATTTTTGAATAAATTATTGTTTCATCATAAGAACATAAAAAAATATTGAAAATATAAAATGAAAAGGAGAAATCATTAGTATTTGGTTTAGGACATCGTTATGCATACATAACTTTTGGTATAAGATTTTGACTTTGGTATAAGATTTTAACTTTTGGTATTTGGTTTATGTGTTTGATTTAGAGTTTAGGGTATAGAGTATAGGTTTAGGATATATGGTTTAGTTATCAAATTTTTAATGAAAATTACAAAACAAAAAGGAAGAATCATGAGACTTTAATTTAGGGTATATACATTCATAACTTTTGATATAGATTTTAGGTTTTGATAGATAACAAATTAAACCCTAAGCTGATTTACTAAGTAAGCTACCAATGACATACCCTAAACCCCAAACTAAATAACTAAGTAAATTTTTGGAAGTCAAATTCGAAATTTTGTAAAACAATGACAATATAATATAAAATCAAACCCTACAAGTTTTATCCTATACCCTAAACTCCAAAACTCCAATTTTCCAAAACCAAACTAAATTATTATTTATCCTATACCCTAAACTCCAAAACTTACACGGAAATTTTTAAGTTTGAATACCAAAAATTTGGTTTCCCTCTAACGCCAATTTCGAGTTTTTTTGTTCAAAAATTTGGACGGAAGCCAAATATTTCAAAATATTTGGGCTCAAAGTTTCCATTGTTAAAGGGGAACAAAACATATAATCTCTCTTAGTTTCTTTGACCTAGAGAAGCGGCCGCCATTTAAAAAAAAAAAAACTCTCGAGATTTCGTTTTCTCGGCTCAACTCCTTCTCGTGGTTGTTGATTTTCGATGTAAGGCGACGAGATGGCGACGTGTCCCAATCCTTAGGCGGTGATTTGTCAGTCAGAAGGTGAGGAGGCGTCGGAGGTCGACGGTGTCGTTTCAGTGACAAGATCCTTTTCCTTTAGCCTGACAGATCTAGTTTCGCTGCGATCGTGGGTCCTTGCCGACTTTTTGCTGCTCCTCCATGGCCGGAGTTCATGGCTTCTCATCTCAATGTTTTGATATTTTGTAGATCTGGAGGTAAAATGTTTTGATATCTGAAGCTCTCGTCTCTTGTTACATGAATTGCTCCTGTCTATTTTTTTTTTTTTTGGAAAAAAAGATCGAGAAACAATTTCAATTTTTCTCAGTTTTCTTTCAATTTACCCTGTTTGTTTAACGAGAAAGAACATTAACAAATTAACCTCCATTGGCTCTTTTTCCGTTGATGTGTTCAGGCTCATCAAATCTCTGAAACCAAAAATTCAACATTCTTCACAAGCAATTTCATATTATCACTGCGTAGAGATTAACTTCTGCATCCCCTGCTCTTACAAGTATTTCTCGATTTCATTTGAAGTTATTGGTTTTTTTTAACAATCGCTTCATGTGCTCAGTAGCTTTGGTTCAATTTGGTTCATTAGCTTTTAGTCTTATTCCTTATTTCAACTTATGCATCTTACTCTCTTGTTTACAGCTTGAATATTTATTACCTTGTTCAGAGCCCGATTTTTATGAGATGATGCTATCAGAGGTAAATAATAAGTTAATAACCCATCATTTATTATCTACTGTGCTCCTACCTTAATTCTTTGTTCATGTGTTGCTGTTTGATTATTTCCAATCTCTTGTTGTCTTTTTAGATGAATCACCGTGGCCCATCTCAGAGAACTATCCGGATTCAGCAAGCTCGTTTGCCTGCTGGAGCAATAAGGTCAGCCAATTCCAGCACTTCCCCACATCCCCTTCCTAACCAAGCTTTGTAACTAGAGCACTCCACAATCCATTGGAATCCATATTGGTTTAGTTTTGTAACTCTTTAGCTAAGTTATCTTCGTGTATTACCTTATTGGAATCCATATTTTAAGTTGCGTCATGAATCTCTTGACTTTTGTGTGTTTGTAATCTATAATCATAAGTCTCCTACTTTTGTGTATTGTATTTATTATCTTATAAATTGTAGTATTAAATATTTTATATTAAGGTTAATATATTTTTAATAAATCATTTGGTTTCAATTATTATTTTTTATTTAGAATTGTTAATTAGTCACAACATTTTCATAGTTCTTTGTGGCTAAAAGCAAAAACTGATTGTACCTGTTTGTGGAAATTTGTATCTTCTAGCAATGAATTAATTTGTAGTTTTCTTGTAGCTATTATAGACACAAGTTTAGTTGTGGCAATCTGTGAATTTTAGCCACAACAATCGTTATGGATACTTGTGGATAATGGCTACGACTCTGTGTGTGACAAATCGTGGCTATTGTAGCTACAAATATAATTGTATCTATTTCGTGGATATTAGCCACAAACTTTGTTGTTGCAATGTCGTGGTTATCGATCCACAAATAGTTACGAACCGGAAATAGCTACAAGCCTATAGCTACGAATTTGAGTTGTGTCTGTTCGTGGGTAAACGCAAAATAGCCACAAAATTATGACAATAACTACAATTAAATTTGTGGCTATTAACAGTTTTTCTTGTACTGTAATGTGTGAGGTTATTTTTGAAATCAATGTAATAGAGTCCGAATCTGTTCTTGTAACCATCTTGCCACTCAAAGTTATCCAACGATGACCATATAAAGTATCCTGTAACATTTACCTTGTCAATGCTGCAAATATTACACAAAAGATTTTATTAGATTCTTTAATATAATTGTTTCTCGATCATATGAAAAAAAAAAAAAACTTACCAAATAGCTTCTTGCATACTCAAAAGATGCCTCTGGAGATAATATTTTCTGTTATGATCAGCAGTACCAACTGCAACTGAATCTGTTTCCCCAAGCTCTTCTCCATATCCTA